CCATATACTTCACAAGTGCTCGCAGAAATCACTATTATAAGTTCTCTCTAAATTTGTATGGGACATTCAATTTATTATTGATCTTCCTCAGGTTTGTGTGCGAGTCTTTGGCGTTCATCAGTATGCGACTTAATTAAATTAAGTCCTTATGTTGTTTTTTGTAATATTAGTGTACTTTAATTAAGTACACACCAATACTTTTACAATAATTTACACAAATTAATGAAAAATACAAAAGAACACGTGGAATTTAACACGTGTTTTTATCCAAAAAAAAGTAATCCATTTGTTTTCCATTTGTAATAATTATTCTTTAAAATATGCGTCATGCTATGAAGTTACAAATATAATAAAAAAATCATTTTGCTCACATGAATTATTTAAAGTACTTAAAGCTCTCATAATCCACACATATAAATAAAATTTTCTATTAAACAAAACTATTCATGCGGCATTATTTGAACAAAATTTTCATAAATTCGCGACTGTAATGTAATAATAAAAAATAATTTCTGTCGTAATTACGATTACGTCTATTCCTCTCACTCGTTCTATTTAGTAAGGCTAATTTGATTTAAATTTGTTTTGATTGACATGCATTCACATCAATGGCAATAGATGTAATTGTTGAATCAGTTCATTGTCCCAAAAAAAAGCGTATTTTTTTGTGTAATTTCGCAAAGCTATATTTGAATTGTAATTTGTTTTAGTTATTGTGAGAGATTTGATGGGTTAATTATAGATTGTGTCGATAATTTTGTTTTAAATTACAATTTTTAAAGAGAAAACAAATAATTTGGGATGGTCCATAGTCGATCAAATTAACAATTTATGAGTTAAATTAAACATTTCGTTTCTATGTCAATTGTTGCCTCAGATATTTGTTATTAACATTCGAATGAATGAAGAAGAATCAACAAATAATAAAATTAGCATGATTTTGTCAATTGCCACCCTAAACTTTTTTTTTCTTCTTCTGTATAACAAAGCTATTATTATACAAATAATGAGATCGAAATATATAACAAAAATATTTTATGAAGACGGTGACTCATCCGAGTTTATTGTAGAGTGGAAAATTTTTTATCAAACACGTTATATTTTTTAAGCACGAGAGTTTGTTCCAATTTAATACAGAAAGTCTCTAAATGCGACATTAATATTTAAAATTAGAACATGCTAATTTTTTGGAAAAATTTAATAAAGATATTAATAAATCTGTTAATTGATGTAGCCTTACTTGACGATTCACCTTTTGATTCATTATTTGTGTGCTAATTTCTCATCAGATTTCGTTCTTTGTTCGATGCTTCCTAAGTTCTCAGATTTATTGGATATATAATAGTGAGGAGATGATAGAAATGAAGTTTTTATTAAAGGCTGTGAGAAAATTCAGTTAATTTTCTTTTGAATAAAAGAAGGTTCTATGTCTTCATCACAGTCTCATATTTAAATGAACTTCCATAAGTATTGACTTTGAATTTCAATGATAATTAATAAATTTCCACGTGCCAAACTCTCAATCTAAATTATTCATTCCAAAAGCTTCTGTTTTTATTTTCAAAACTTCTTCAGAACAAAAATTCCATTAATTTATTCAAATTGTTATAAAAGCAACTGAATAAATTGACTTTAACAAAATAGAAATCACTTAGTAACGAGATTGGCAAAAAAAGGCTAAGAGATCTAAGAGATGAAAGAAAAATCGCGTAAATATTCAAGCTATGAGGCTATTAACATTGTAAGGCGCCTATAAAGCGTCAATCATAATTGCTGTTTGTTTATTTATAATTAAAGCCTCTATGTCTCCACATTAAAAAGACATTCTCTCCAAGTCTCAAGACAGTTCATTTAAATATGGATAGAGAAAAAAAAATATCATTTAATAAGTGAATTGTGGAATGTTGCAAAGTTGATGATTATGGCGCAGAATGCGATGATTTTAAGGAAGTTTGAGATGGAAATTGAAGATTGTGTTAAGGCGCTTTCCATTAGATACTTTTTGATAATCTAGTATCGTGTTGATATGGCTCGAATAGCATATCTGTAGTAGATAGGCCTGAGCATAGGGCTCGTGTTGAAACTGGTTAAAAGTGTATGACGGATAGTCTTAGTGATATAAGTTTCTCGTTGGGCGAGTGGCAGGGATCTTTGATCGAGTGGTCAGAGATCGCCTCTTTTTAGGTCGTGGTTTTGATTCCTATCGAACCCGAATTATTTTACATTATATACATATGGCAGTTAAACGGAGATCTACAAATCGAAATTGGTATTTTATAATGATCATAATCAAGTTTTAATAGCTTGTAAACCTAGCTTCTGCTACTCAAATGTCAAATCTCAAATTTAACTGAATTAAGTACAAAAGACATTAATTTATCTTATAATTCAAATCTATATGTCTTCATTAACCATTATTACCTACACAAAATTCTTAAACATTTAAATTACAATTGTCTTGAATTTCATTGACGTAAACAAAACAATTCTCAAAAAAAAAACTTCAAGTAGGTGTTGTAATTCTTTAATATGCGTTGATATAAAGTTCAAAGTTGAAATGAAATAAATTCTCATCAAACTTGAGATAGTAAACAAAATAACTCGTTGAAACTTCACATTTATATCTCATTTTGATCTAACCATAAATTATTTAATTAATCTTTAAAGACAAAACGAATGAGCTAATCAATTAAATTTATGCTAAAATGATTATAGTTATTGACTCTTATATTATAATTTACTTCCAAGCGCCACCAATAAATTTTCTATTTTTTCTTTCTTCTTCTCACATTATTCGATGTCAAATGAGACTATTAGCCACATCAATATATCTAGCTTGACGCTCTCTCAACTTTATAGATATTAATGTGGCATGTGTTGGAAGAATAATTTAAATTATGAAATGAAAAGAAAAGGCAGAGTTGGGAGTTTTTATGTTTTGAAGGTCATTTGATGCTTGTTTGGGGTCTATAGCCTTTGAAGTATGCAACAAGTGGAAATTGTGAGAGAATTTTGATGTTATGAACTTGAGAAAGCTTAATGATGATCTTTGAATAAATTTAAGAATATAAAATTATAACTTGAATTTGGCTTTAAATTGAAAGGACAAAATAGAGAGTTGAAGATGCTTTTGGGTCAAAGGATTAGTTCCACAAAAGAAAAATTTATTCAATATAACGATTTAGCTAAGAGTGAATGAGGATTTGTTTGATTTTCAATCCCAAATGAAATTTTAAGTATTAGTAAAATCACTCAATCCGGCAACCAACAACATAACAGCACAATCAACTCTGTCTAGAAAGAAAAGAAAGAGTAAATTTATGTTCATGTATAAAAAATTTTTATCATCGTTCTTATATTTTTTTCTCCTCTAGTGCTGTATAGCTGTAGTATATAGACATTAAGTGAAAAGCTAACTGAGCATTTGGTTTCATGTGGTCACAGTAAAATACATTTTAGCACATATTAATACATTTATGGTCTTTTTTTTCTTCTGTTTTTGTTGGAAAGGAAGAAAACGAGCAGAATGGAATTTTTTTAAAGCGGGTTCTGTGTTATCACTTACAACTACAATCGCATTATTTGAATTAATGCGAATATTTGTACACAACAATATGGGTATATACATTTTTTTTCAAAACTTTTAATTGTATGTATTTATTTTTTTGGGAGAGATGAGATTGAGCTCAATGTACGTAAAATTCTCTTGTAAATCCTCTTGATTAGTAATATTTCTTCTCTCAATTGTGTTTGTTTTCTGTTTTACAAGCTCTTATCTTACAAGTACTCAAAATTTTGTATATTCGTGACGTCACGTTTGACGATTAACAAAATAACACGACAAAATGTTTTTTTAAAAATGTCAAAAAGTATCAAAAAAACAGTAAAAATTTATTGAATTTAATTTCATCACTTTAAATTTGGTTAATTTGAATGAACAAGTGTGCAAAAAATAAAAACATTCTGCGGGAGACGTGCCAAAAAAAATTAATTTGTGTGTTATTTGTTTCGTTTTTATTTTGTATTCTTGCTCATCGTAAAAATATGTAGAAATTGATTTTAATTTGCTTGATTAGAGCGGAATTTAAGATCTAGAAAGTGATACACTTGACTAAGAATCATATGAGATGGGGTGTTAGGATTCATTTTGTGAATGTTTAATCGATTGTTTATAGTCGATGAAATTTGAGTAAGCGTGCATGATTCCATCAACGGCATGCCATTAAATGACGTCAGGTAGGCGCCAGATCAGGTTTCCATAAGTTGAAATTTTTTTTATTGAGAGTTGAAAATTCAAATCATAGAGTTTTTGAGAATTCTTCAAATATTTTTGACTGAAAATTTTGCCGTTTAAATTAGTTGTGGGAAATTTGATGCTTGTGCCTTTAAAATTGTAAAAGAAATTATTTGCTTAATAAATCGACTATTTTAAGAAGAAAAGAAAATCATTTTAATATCAAACGGCTAGAAAAATTCAGGAAACTTTGCCTTAGGTGCGATCTTAATGTCTTCTAGTCAAAATACCCACTATTTATTTTCACAAATATTTTGGCATGTCGAGAAGATTCCTTCAATTATTCTTTTTAAAACGATATACTGACTCGCAAGTTCGTCCGAGAGATCAAGAAGAACAAAGAATTGCGTATTTTCATTTGATCTATTTAAGAATGCAATGTGACGATCGATTGAATAATGTGAAGGTGAAGAGCGAATTAAGATTTGTGAGTGTAATCAGCGTTAGAATGTAACAAGGATGTTGTAGAAGAAAGGTGTCTGAGGCTTATGAAAAAATCAACAAATCTGTCAATTTAATTCACAACCACATGTTTCCCATACAATATATGTCGTCTGCAACTTTACATTTTTCAAATATACACGATTATTTATGTATAAATACGCGCCACAGAAAAAAAAACTACATTTAAACCGATCAGAAAATGAGAAAAGAAAAAAAAAACTATCCAATACATATAGAGCAAGCTTGAAGTATGAAAGAATAACAATATTATTATTTTTTTCTTCTCACAAACGTTTTCAGTCAGTCAGTCAGTAGGGTTTCGCTACAGTCCTCTCTCCTCTGTTCATTATCACATTCGCTTGTTTGCGGTGATGATTGTCATTTATTATAAAATTAATAATTAATCTATGAACAATAATAAATAAAAGTGTAATTGTGGAAAATTTTTAATTCCTGTGGTGCACCAGAACTTGAAAAATAAAACAAAAAAGTGAATCATTAATTAAATTAATCGCGTTAACCGACTAAGTTAAAACTCGGTGAAGGTTTATTTTATTTCGTGAAATGTACTATCAAAGCAATTTGACAGGTTAAATTTGCAATTTTCTTGTCAGAACCGCCTCAATGTCGGGCAAATAAAGAGTGTCATTAAAAAAAAAAAAAAAAAAAAAGTCGTGTGCAAACTTCAATGAAAAAGGAAGGCTCTATAGAATGAGTGGATAGGGTGCCTTTTGTGTACGAACTCAATTCAAATATGTTTATGTTCGTTTTTGATAAGAATGACAATTGGCTTTGGAAAGAAAGAAACTATTAAAAATTGATTTAAATTAGTCGTTTTGAATATAAAGGCGAATAACGAGCGCCCAATGCGAGTTTATAATTCATTTGAGGTCAGTGTAGAGAGACATTTTTTATTTTTCGCAAGAATTGCGATTTTTTTTCTCCTCTCCGATTTACTGTTGTTGCATGTGATGATGCTATATAGTATATACTATGGAGATGAGAAAAAAAGTGCATTTAAGCTTTTATAGCTGTATAGTATGTTCATGAATGTGTATAATATATAAAGAAATATTTAGAGAGAAATTATGCATCTTACAGATGTCGCTAAAGTGCGTGAAAGTGAATGACATTGTGATCTAGAAAGTCAGAAAAATGTTCGAAAAGTTTTATATATTTTTTTAAATGCAACATTTTCTAGTGAAAACTGTGTGAAAAGAAATCGAGAAAATTATCATAATTTTTTTTTATCGTTGTTCCTACATTGTTAATGTTATGTGTGTTTACATTTTTAATGTAAAGATAATCATCATGATTTGCTTTTTATTGCGTTATTCGTGAATAATTTGAAGGGAGTTTTAAGAGATTGCTGGTCTGCTTCTGTAAACAAATGCATGTAATTTGAAGAATGAATAAAAAATTTGAGGAGTTTAATGATGATGAGTTCCTATTGAATTGCTGTGAATTATAGGACCGAAAACAGACAAATTTGACTTTAGACAAGTCTTTATTGACGATTTTTATTTTACAAAGCTAGCTGAACTTCACTATTAAATGATTAATTAATTAATGGAAATTCGACTTAAAAACATCAACAGATGTATTTGTTGAATAAACTCTTATTGAGTCTATCAATTCTACTTTAATTGAACTGTAGTGACGCGCACTTAATCGACTTTAATTGATGTTTACTGTTTGAATTATGAAACAAAATTGAACTTTATACTTAAAAGGGGAGTGACGCTAAGATTGAATCTTCTGACAATTTTAAAAGGGGAGTAACACTGATGAAGATTAAAATCTCAATTTTAGTTTTTAAAACTGTTAATTCGTTCAAAATTTTAAAACAACAATCACAAAGATTGACCTGAATTAATTGTTGTAATAATGTTAATCCACACATTTGTTTTGACTGCTTCTGTTTGATATTTTTCATTGGTTCGAAAAATTTTCCAACCGAATCAACTGAGTTTGTCTGGTTTTTGCAAATTACACCGGATTTGTTTTGACTAATCAAGCGAATCTTGAACAACAAATTAAAAAATAGTTCTTAATTCACATATTCTAATACTAGACATGCAGGGAAAAATCTGACTGAATTATTTTTTGTTAAAATGTGAGAAGTGAGCTGTTAATTAGAACCTCTCGAGACTAGACAGCAACATCTAAAGTTGACTAATAATATTTTATTGGAAACACAAATTTGTTAATTCAAAATTGATTTTGGGAATTTTCCACACACCTTTTTCACTTTTTCGAACATTTTTCTTAACCAACAGATCAATATGTGATAATAAAATTCATTTTTTTATGTAACAGTTGTTAAACGATCAATTCTCTTTCTTATAATCGCGTGCTGTCATTTTTCTGCTCAGTAAACAGCAACAAACGACACACAAAATAAAAGATATAGAATTTTTAAACTTTAAACCCCTATATTAATCACCTTACACACATTAACATTAATGCCTTGATGATAACAAGAAGAAAAATCAAAAAAAAAAAAAAAACAAAAAAAAAGATTGTGCGAGCGAAAATCATTTTTAGTTGCGCGTAAGCTGAAAAGAGTGTATGAAGACGGAGAAATAAAATAAAAAAAAATACACGACACAGAAGTGGCGAGTGGAATTGAGGAATGTGCTTCTTGAAAGATGACTTTTTCTTGTTTTTCTACTATTTTTTTATATACAATCTTATATATGCCACATATTATTCGTGCTGATCACGAGCTAATCAAGTAAAAATCGCGTGAGACATCTTATTTCTTCTTATACCAGGCACTGCCAACACCGTAACACCGCGCGCAAAAAAAAAAAAAATGTGATGAAAAAATTCTTGTAGAAAGCCATCAGACAACCTTGATAATTTGCACAGTCGACAGTCAAAGAAGGCAAGAGAGTTTGTGTATAGTTGTGTGTCTAACTCTTTTTTTCCTTCGAAAATAATAAAAGTGCTATGGATTTAAATTTTTATTATCATCATCAATAATTTGTGTATTATCAAGTAAATTAGATTGTAAATAAGTCAATAAAAGACTATTGTGGACTAAATTAATGAGAATATCTCTAATAATTTGTGGAATTCGTGAACATATGTATACATCGAGTTGTAGATTATTACATACATATATCCAGATATTTATCTTTTTTTTCATGTATACATATAGATACACCACATATGTGATGTGGAGCAAGAAGTGCGAGATCGTCAAAATTCCGGTTAGTGAACTGTGAAAGCTTGAACAAAAATAATGAAATAAAAAATAATAACAACAATATATAAAGAAAAGAAACGTGTATGTACTCGAGAGTCTATGCGATTTGTGAATTGTGTGTCTTGATATCTCATCAATTGAGTGCCAATTAATTTCACTATAATTGAGGATAAATATTTGAGAAAAAAAAAACATATCATACAAGTAAATAGAGAAGGCAAATATATAGCTATACACAACAGAGTTGAAAATCTTTTTGAACTGGTAAGTGAAGAACACAGTTTATTTCAATTTTTTTATTTTATACATCTCGTGTGTATTTTCAAAGAATTCTCCTTCTTATGCTTTGATCCATGTTCTATGGATTGTGTTGTGTGTTTTGTCAGCAGGCTGAGATCCTACTTCTTGAGACTAAAAGAGTAAAATTTCAATCTTAAGAGATAGTCTTTTAAACTTTTTAAATCCACAACTTCTATCTTCACCCATGGAATACCAAAAAGCTGTCTTTCGTTCGACAGGAAAACAAAACACCGTCTTTAAAAATGTCTGATAAAAAATTTGAAAATTTGTTTGCGATAAAATAAAATACTTTTGTGGTGTCTATCAAAAACTTAAAAAAATCCAAGCAAATTGTTTTTATACTCTTTGAACTGATAAAAAAATAAAAAAAAAATATAAGATATGGATAAGAATTATTTTTTGGAATTTAATTTTTGGGTATAAAGCTTTTGAGTTTTGAATGTGACTTTCAATTGCGTATTGTAATAAAATTGTTGTAGTACCAATGACGCTTAGTAAGTTCTTTAAGATTGAAATCTTGATTATATTCAAAAATTCCAAGGACAATTAAGCTTAACGCACTTTTTTGCGTACACTTGGTATTCTATTTTTAAATTTTTATTTATCCTTTCAAATAGTTTTTGGCAAATTAATCATAATTGCCTAGAAACGTTGCTTAAGTTTTCCACAAACAATTCTGGCAAATAAGTCATAAGACTTTCTTAAAATCAGTTGCCAAGTGAATTAATTGAAAGTAATACGCAACAACTTTTTGGATTATGACTAAGAATGGTGTGAATTATCTCAAGGTTTGAGCTTATCTTGACATAATTTATTGAGTTTGTCCTGTATTAGTTATTAAGTATGCAGTATAAGTGGTCAAAGTATTTCTAATATTATGAGTTGAATAGCAGTGCTTGTCTGATGATATACTTTAGGCATCTGAAAGTGGATGAATAGATAAGACAAATATCATAGTTTTTACTAGTTCAGGCTGGTTTTTGGTAAGATGCGAGATTTTTAATAATTTTAGAGACTGTTGCTACTAAAAACCACTACAAGATCCTCAATCCAGAAAGCCTGCATTCATCTTACTCCACACTTTGTTAAATATGTGAAGATGTGTATGAAAGAAATCGGAAAGAATTCCTTTCCGTGGAAAATAATAAGAATAGCAAGAATGTAAAGGTCATTTGGGAATTCTCTCTCATTTCGTGTCCGATCGAGTCACATTTTTATTTCTTCGAAATTCTTTACCAAATTGCACGATCGACGCTTCAATCTAACGATTACTGCGGAATTTTGATCTTCTCATTTCATTCACAAACTAGTTGTCTTTTTTTATGGAATTTTATTTATTTTCATTTAATAGACTTTTTAGTTTACTTCATGTTCGTTTGAGGCAGTTTGAGGAAAGGAACTAAGAGATCATTCACATCTTAGTGATGAAATATTTGCGAGATTCTTTGTTTATTTTTTTTTTACTTCTGTACTTAACTCAAATAATCTTCTGTCAATAGAAATGTAATGAACTGCGATTTCTTTTTATTCTAGTTTATTCTTCAAGGTTTATTGAGACTTGTTGGATAGAAAATTTTCTTTAAGACTTTTCTAATAAAAGTATTGAAAGGAATTGTCGAAGAGTTTGCAGCTTATTCATCAATGTAATTTTGTGTTATTAAATGAGAATTGGGATGCACTGAGTGTTTTTCTTGAACAGATTGACAATGAATATCAATCTGTAAGAAATTAATTTTTTTGTCAAATTTCAACACATTAAGCATCCAAAAAATCATCTGATAACCTTTCTAAAACTTAAAAAAATAACTATGAGCTAAATTGTTGCTGATAATTTTGTTTAAAAGATTAAATATTTTACTAAATGCTGTTCTCATTGAAAAATTTAAAAAAGTAAATTTTTAATTAAAACAAGAATTAGCACAAGGAACAAATTACATCAATTAAGATAAAAAATATAATCAAACACTGTCCCCAAACAAAGAGATGGAGCTTAAAAACTAAGAAGATTTTAATGAATGAGTTTCATCTATCAAAAGAATCTCTTAATTGGCATACATTCAAAATTCATTGAACTTCAATCCATAAATAAGAAATGAGGAACAAAAAACTCTACAAAATGCATTACTCTAAAAAGAAAGCAATTATTAAACTATTAAAATGTCAGTTAACGTTCAACAACTTTTCTTGTTACAAACTTGAATTTCTCATACTTTTTGTTGTTGTTGATGTTGTTGTGAATAAGAATGATGAGCATTTGAGAACATCACAAACATATTTTCCTCAAAAGTAACTTTTATCTAAACTATTTTCATTAAAAATTCAATTCAATCAGATGTTAGTGAATGTGCAATTCAACTCGATGAGATGAAAAAATATATTCTCTTCTTATTAGATGCACTTGAATGCTTTAGAGTACTTCGAATTGCTATTGTAGTGGAGGTTGTAGGTAAAAATACTATTTATGGAGCTATGAATCAAATTAGTTTGTTGAATTCAATTTATTATTACTTGTTCTGGAAGTTTTGGGTTGTTTTTGTATTTTTATATTTTACAAATAAGCTGGACATGAGATTATCATGACGAATGACTTCTTTGTGTGAGATCTTGTTTGCGGGACTGTTGCAAGCTTTGTAATAATTTATATTGATGGAATTTCAAGCTTCATGTGTTATTGAGAATAGAAGAATAGAACTAGAACTGAGTGAAGGATGAGAAATGTGTTCTCGTACTTAAAATGGTGATTCTGAAATTCAATTATAATCCAAAATTACAGTTAAAACTTGATCGAATCAGTGACTTTTCTGGGAAGGAGAATTGCTTACAAATTTCTTACAAAAATAAAGTTTTTCGCCTTCCTAATCAAGTCCATACCTTCTACCCACATCCCTTAATTTCCTTACCCTCATATTGAACTTCATGAATCCTCCTTCATTAAGCTTTATACCGTGAAATTTCTCGGAAACCCCTAAAACAATACTCCTTATGATGTTTTACTTCTATGATTGTAACGATGGATGAAGATGACAGATATGCAACAAAGTTTTATAATGCTTAAAAAGTTAAATGGCAAATTTACTTTTCTTTTTTTTTCAAATCCCTCCTTCGTTCTCTTTTCTTACTTGTTTGCCTTTTGGAAAAAAAGAAGATTATTCGCTGTGTAGTTTTCCAGTTTTGTAATTAAATACCTCATTTATTTCTTATCATTAAGCAAATTAATTTGCAATTGCAATGAAAACTTCCTAAGTGCACAAAATGCAGAAACAAAACGCAAATGGAAACAGAAGTTAGGGAACAAATTTTCTTTGTTTGTTGCCTTGAACTTACAGTTTATGAATATTTTATGAACTTTCATTTCCCCTTTGTGAATATTCTCTTTGCTCGTTCTTATGAAAAATTGAAGAATATTCATTTTTTTGTGCTTATGTTTGTGGTGAATTCAAAAAATGCCACAACACAAAATGAACTTTATTATTAGCTAGCAATGAGAAAGTATGTTGACATTTTAATCCCTCTGGTGAGCCAAATGCATGCAAATGACAACGATGTCAACAACTTTTACTTAGCAGAAATTAAAGCTTCCTCCCTAAATTCACATTTACTCTTGAATTTGTTGTATAGAGATTAAAACTGCATCTAATTGCCTATTTGTTCGATATCAGCATTCAGTCACATATAAAATATGTTTTAATTAAGGGAAAGTTTTTTTTATGCAAAAATGAGTGTTGGGGAAAGTGTTGAGTGAATGAGTTGTGGTTTGAGGGCGTTGTTGATTCTAAAATAAAATGAATTGTTGGATTTACTGATTGGAAATGACATAGACCCACAAGATTTCTTGTTAATTTGATGTAAATATATTCATGATAGAGTTTGGCAGTAGTTTGATGTCATTCATCATAAATCATTAGCTAATTGGATAGTTAAAAGTCCATAAAAAGCTGAATGTATGAAAAAGTTTCCTGCCTTCCAACCACCTTATCATAACCTGTTCATTTCAAATATAAACCATCAAAAGCAATTAAAATTTTGCTCGTTAGAAGTGCAAATTAGCAAAAAGTCATTCTGCATTCGATAGTTTCCATAGACACAGCCACAAGGTAGATAATTGCATTTTCATTGTCAATTCAGGTGACAGAAATGGAAAAGTTTTTCTTCCTTTTCATCAATTCACATTCATCGTTGCCATATAAATCTCTCATCAAATGAAAACGGAAACTTAAGAAAATATTTTTACAAACTTTAAATTAATGGTGACGATTCCGATAAAGTGAGAACTTTTCATCCTTGACCGTTATTGACAATAATAATAATAATAAATTTTGAGAGAATGCAACAAGTCGCGAGAGCTTTTTTTCATCCCTGGATCGTCCGAATAAAAAATTCAAGTTCAGTTGTTGTGTCACACGAGACACACGAGACACACGAGAGAGCTAAGCAACATCAACGAGCACAATTTCATGTCATGCGCTGTGTCTGAGACACGAATGTGTGAATTGTTGATGAGAAAAAGAAAAGAAAATGTTTACAACAAAGTTCTTTCCTCGCATTGAAAGCATCAACTTTACTCCACAGTTTCAGTATCATTCGAGAGTGCATCGGAATTGGATGAATCTGAAAGACAATTCGGTCATTATATTCAATATTCAAGAACTAAATAAAATATAATTCTTATTATTTTTTGAGAAAATAAGTTTGAAAGAAAAAGAAGGAAAAAAATTGACTTTCAGTCTTGATTGCATCTGCCTGTTAAGCTTTAAAAGTTTTGTGCTTTAAAGAGGAAAAAAAAACATTTGCTCTTGAACTGTTATGTTGGTTGAGGTGGAAAGTGAAAGATAAACAATTTTCGTTAAAGATCGAAACTTTATTGAACATAAGAAAATTTTCTTGATGATCAGCAAGTGAATCGAAGTGGTGTGGTGTTATAAATAAGTTCACAAAGTTAATCAATCGACAATTAAGTTCAATTA